GTTGATAAGGTGTCAGCTCCCTTGTTAAGGAATCGTTGACATAAATCCCTCACCCAAGGAGAGTACAGCCCTTGTGTCATGACATTTTCTGTACTCCAGCTCTCGCGCACGCATGTGCATTGCTGTGGGAGCGTCAGGACGTAACCATGCATGTCATGAGGGTACAACGAATGTGCATGCCCATTGCTGTTCGCACCAGTCAATGGTAACTGATTTATTCACATGTACCCTGTCTAAAAGTGCAATTCAAGGCATGTTTTGTTTCAATTGTAAACTTTCAGTCATATGGACCCCTTTTTTTGGTGAAAACCAACAGGCCTCGTGTCCTTCCTCGCCAGGTTAGACAGCCTGAATGGTCCTGACGGATCAGGGCATCACAGGGCAGCCCAATGAGCCCGATTTGACCCCAAGCCCACAACCTTACGGTGCAGGACCTCCCAAGGTAGCCTTTGACCTGACAGGTATGGGGAGCTGATCAGTGACACGATTCTTTTGAAGACACAGAATGACTCCAGCCAGTCAGCTCCTGCTTCCCTCGCCTTCCTCGGTGAAGCTCACACTCAAGGCATTACAGCCTTGATGTTTCAGATGCGTATTCACTCTTTGTTTATTTTAACGTTTCCCCCTTTTTTACAGTATGCAAGGGTGGCATACTCGGGCCATCCCATGCAGCACCCATTGCGCATACGGTGGATACTAGGGATGGTACCCGGGTACAGGAAACCCGGGTACCCGAGGCGGGTACTGGCTTTTTAGTACCCGCCTACCCGGGTACCCGCCAACCCTTGTACCCGGGTAGGCGGGTACGGGTACGTACCCGGGTACAGGCGGGTACCGGCGGGTACCCATGTTCCGGAAACACCGGGTACCCAGGTCCGGTTTTACCACCCCGGATACCATCCCTAGTGGATACCCATCGGGAAACGTTTACAGAAGTGAGTCACCCAATATAATTGTGCTCATTGTGTGGCTTGTCGAACAAGCCTTTATTGCACAAATGGGGTTCCGATCGGCGGGGGCATGCATGGCATTGGTCGCGTACCTCGAGTTTTTGATGACTGCACCCCCGCGAAGGCGAAGTCCAGTGGACGCCCGCCTGCGTTCTGCAGCAAAACAAATTGGCAAAAGAACGGGTTGAGTAACGGCCAGATTGTGGTGCGAGAAATCTGCGCGCACCTGCCTGTCTTGGTTGGAATGATCTGAACAAGGGGGAGCCGGGGACGACTGGAAGTCGGGAGGTTCGAGCATGGTGAGAAACGGTGCCCACCGGTCGAATTCATAACACCCCCACCCCACCCGCACATCGCTGACGTCAGGCTGGCATGGAGTGCAAGTTCAGGTCGGTGAACAGAGACTGCGCTTTCATTGTTGGTAAAAACGGAATAGGTTCCCTGCGGCCAGCCCAAAACTGCGTTATCAAGGCACTCATCTCCCTCTTTTGAACGAGAGCGGTTGTGCACTCTGTGATTCCGCAAAACTCGAGGCTTTGATGCTGCCCAGCCTGCCGCCGGTTTGTTAGCCTGTCTGCACAGCACAGGCACTGGTAGGTGCAAGCCGGACACAGGATGCACGCAAATGAACAGTTTCCACTGTGAGTAGTGTAAGTTGTATCATTGCCTTATTCGGCGTTGAAAAATATCAAACGCCTACGTTTTTATGTCGACAACTGTCAATGACAAAAGAAATGAAGACCGATATTGTTTTCACAAGGTGTATGCTTGTGTCGGATGGCCTAATATATTTGTCGGCAAAACGCTCAAAACCCGGTGCTAGTATATCAGTACTACCCCAATAATGTTGCGCCAGACCAACAGACCATGTAGTTCAAGTAGAATATCCATCCTCATCGGACAACCCGTGTATCTCTTCAACTGTTGCCCCCAATTACTCATTACGTTTCGTAGAATAAACAATGCCGGTGACAGCGATGATTATGAAAATTTAAATATGGATCCTCTGAAAGAATTCTCCTGCTCGATTTTCCCACAACATCAGTATGTCGTCTGCGCTTTGTAAGATATATTTCGATCGCAAAATGTATTCTGTGATTCTTTTGTATAGCCATAAGGAAAAGCATCGAAACTGCCCCAGATGCGTGCATTAGTATATTAGGATTTCCTGAACATGGTTTGTATGGATATTTTGCCATATAAAGGACAGGGGGGCCTTCCCAATCCCGGATGTTGTGACGCAATGGGAGTTGTGAGTTGAACATAAATGCTGATAGATCTGCAGCGCAAAAATTTTATTTCCGTGTCACCACCCGATACCCAATACAAGGCATACATGTATTTATTCGTTCCTGCTGCAACGGCGTTAGCGCATTAGGAAGAAAAACGGCAACCACAAGGAAAAAAAGACGTCAGTGGCGCCGTTAATGGGGAAAAAGGGGCCAAATAACACGTTAAATTTGGCATACCTTTTAGCGCTTTGACGGTGCGCTAATTGAGACCTGACGGAAGACAAACCTTCCTGTTAAACTGGCATTCCGCATAGAAAGTGCTTTGAGACCCGTTTTGATGCGGTGCATTGCGGATCCCGCGTGAGCGAAGCCATTGGCCCTCCCTGAGCAGGTCAGACACCCATCTGCATTCCGAGCTGATAGTGCAGCTCCATCTCAAGGTCAAGATCCTACATCGCCAGAGGCAGATTCTTGGATCCGTGAGATAGTCTCCGAATAAACATCAGCGCTGCCGCACATATTCAGATGTATCGGGATCTGCATCCTGCGCCACGCTGTAGAATCCGAGTTCATGTCATCACACAATTACTGTATAAATAAAAAAATTCGCGCTGAAAAAATTTCCCATATTTCGCGTGGAAAAACGTTCGCGCGGAAAAATGTTCGCGCAGTTGCTCGAGCATGAAATGCGCAAACATTTTTCCCACGCGAAGTTTTTCACTTATACAGTAAGTGCTTCTTGAAGTACTATTGCCAGGATATAACGTTATGGCCAGGGCCACGGGAGCCTTGCCATTTGCTAAACGATAAAAGCTGCAGCAATGGTGCAGCGTCTACTTGTTGCTGCAGCTCCAGCCTCCCAACAGCTGCGCACGTTTAACTAATGCTCCAGGCGCGTTCTCAGTGCCAGCTGGAAGTTGTGCACGGGGACGTCGTTCAGCGCCAAGTCCGTCCTCGATAGGTATACGTGCTCAAATGCGAACGGGCACATCTCAACAGCAGCACATTGCCGGCTCTAATGCTGCCATCAAGCATCATCATGGTCATCATCAAACCTGATGGCTCGCTAGAAATCTCGAACGAGCCATCAGGCTTGATGATGTCCATTTTCCGGGGCGCAGGTCTTGCGCAAGTGTGGGGCCGATGGGCTCAAAGGCATCGTCTCTGATGCGACACAGCATTCGCTATACAGAGCAGGGGACCAATGGCCGAGGCCAAAGAGATGCAACGGAACACAGAAAATGCCAGCAAATATATGCCGATGTAAGGTTGCCACAACAACACTCCTCGAAATCCCACTTGAAGTGCTGTTGGCTGGCTTTCTGAGCCAATTAGGTTATTAAGCTAACGTCCCCTGTGCTGTGTACATATTTACAAGTTATCGTATGTTCTTCTGCTGAAGTAGACTCTGTAATATGCAGAGAATGGTGGAAACGAGGAACGGTAGCGATCGATACAACGCGCTCACATTGCCAGTCAAGGATGTGAGTGGAAGACCGGCAATGGGCCGGCGCACTTGACTGGTCATCACCAGTCAATAGTGCACGTAGTCTGTTGGCACCACGTTGCAGGGTGTAGACACCATGGTAAGGCCATGGACCGAGGGGAAATAGGGTACTAGGCAACTCAACATTCCGATTACTGCTTCAAGGACTTATTGCACCACACCCAAATACGAGTCACTACGACCGAAGTGCACGAGTGTTCAAATCACTGGGTCGATGCAGCAAACACATAGGGAATACCACGATCAATTTAGTGACTAATGCGATTTCAAGGTGCAGCAATAGCCATTATTGTGCTCAAAGAACTGCAAGTGTAGTTGTTCCAGATTGAGTGTCATGGCCTCGTGGACCGCCACTTGAGAGCATCTTTTATCGGTGGGTGCTATTGTCCCGGCGGAGCTGTTCGGCTACCCGAATAGCACCGCACGTCCAAAAAACCATCATTAACGGTTGGGGAGTAATAGCACCCCAATAGCACACCCAGAGCTATTCGGTGCCGAGCGGTGCTATTTTGGCCTCGAATAGCACCGCTCGGGCCGAATAGCACCCCAGAATAGCGCCGGTGCTATTCGCGCAGAACATTGTAGTGCTGCAGGGATGCTATTCATCGTAGGCATAGCACCCACCATTGCGGATGCGCGCAGGGGAGCAACAGCACCGGTGCTATTTGGCAAATGCCACCTTAGTAAGGTGGCGCAGCAGCCAATGAGAACCGTTCCTGGATAGCTCCGCCGGTGCAATAGCACCGACCGATAAAGATGCTCTCAGAGTTGTCGGCAATGTATAAGCTCAGTTCTTTTCCATCCGTTTCAATTTGGCGCATTCTCTTTTCGCCTGCAATTTTTGGCCTTGGGGGGGGGCGCCCACTAGTAGTCACAAGGAGCCTGCCTAGTCAGCAAGCAGACAGCCCCCCCCCCTCCCTCCGCCTGCAGGGGTCAAATGCCCCGGCCCCAGACGGGCACAGGCCCCGCCCACCGCTGTCCTGGACCCTCCCGCCGGGCCAGGGGGACCGCTACAAAGCCCTCCCCAACCCCTTCCCCCCCCCCAACCCACCCCACCCCGCCCCCATGCTGAAGCGTGCCGCGACGCTCCGGCGGCCCTCCGGCCTGCCCCTGCGGGCGGCCCGGCCGTCCGCATCCCCACTCAGCCCATCCTTCCGCCCCGTCCGGCATCGATGCCAGCCGATCCGGCCGGCGCGCCGAGATCGGATCGCATGCCGGCGAGTGGCGGCCGCCGCCGCGGCCACTGACCCCGCCACGGACGGGCGCGATGCCACGACCAAATCCGCTGTCGGCTTGGTGGGGCTGGCGGTGATGGGCCAGAATCTCGCGCTGAACGTCGCGGAGAAGGGGTTCCCGATCTCGGTGTACAACCGGTCGTTCAGCAAGACGGAGGCCGTGGTGGAGCGGGCAGCCAAGGAGGGGGTGGCGGACAGGTTGGCCGGCTACCCAGACGTGGCGTCGTTCGTTGCATCGCTGGAGAGGCCAAGGCGCGTGGTGCTGCTTGTGAAGGCCGGCCCGCCCGTGGACGCCACGATCGACGCGCTGCTGGAGCACCTGGAGCCCGGCGACCTGATCGTGGACGGCGGCAATGAGTGGTACGAGAACACGGAGCGGCGGCAGGCCAGGGCGGCGGAGGCCGGCGTGCTGTACATGGGGATGGGCGTCTCCGGCGGGGAGGAGGGCGCGCGCAACGGGCCGTCGATGATGCCAGGGGGCCCCGTGGAGGGGTACCGGCTGATGGAGGACATCGTGAGCCGGGTGGCCGCCCAGGTGAGATTAGTTGCAAGGAGAGAACGAAACAGGCCATGCAAAGGGCACCCCTCCTAAATGCCAACCTCCTCCCAGATAGTAATCGTTACAGAAAGCAAAAGGGACGGGTGATACAAAGGGCACCCCCTGCTAACCCTTCACCTCCTCCGTGGCCGCTCAGGTGGACGACGGTCCCTGCGTGACGTACATCGGCCCAGGGGGCGCGGGGAACTACGTCAAGATGGTGCACAACGGGATCGAGTACGGGGACATGCAGCTGATCTCGGAGGCCTACGACGTGCTCAAGACGATCGGCGGGCTGAGCAACGAGGACATGGCGGCCGTGTTCGCGGAGTGGAACGCCGGAGAGCTGGAGAGCTTCCTGATCGAGATTTCGTCGATTATCCTGGGCAAGAGGGACGAAATGGGTGAGGGCTACCTGGTGGACCAGATACTGGACAAGACTGGCAGCAAGGGCACTGGCAAGTGGACCGTGCAGGAGGCCGCGGAGCTGGCCACTGCTGCGCCCACGATCGCCGCATCGCTGGACGCACGCTACATGAGCGCCCTGAAGGGCGAGAGGGAGGCGGCGGAGGGGTTCTATGGAGAGGTGGGCCTGGGGGGCCCTGCTGCGCCCCCGGATGTGGACAAGCAGACGCTGGTGGAGGACGTGCGGCAGGCACTGTACGCCTCCAAGATCTGCAGCTACGCACAGGGGATGAGCATCATCCAAGCCAAGAGCGAGGAGAAGGGGTGGGGGGTGGATGTGGGTGAGCTGGGGCGCATATGGAAGGGCGGGTGCATAATCCGGGCAAAGTTCCTGGAGCGGATAAAGCAGGCGTACGTGAGGGACCCCAAGCTGGCCAACCTGCTGGTGGACAGGCCGTTTGCGGAGGAGCTGGTGTCCCGGGAGCAGTCCTGGAGGCGGGTTGTGCAGCTGGCCGTGGGCGCGGGGGTTGCCGTGCCCGGGATGACCTCCAGTCTGGCGTACTTCGACGCCTACAGGCGGGGCAGGCTGCCGGCCAACCTGGTGCAGGCGCAGAGGGACTTCTTCGGGTCGCACACCTACCAGAGGGTGGACAGGGAGGGCTGGTTCCACACTGTGTGGGACGAGTCCTTCGCCAGCGCAGACTCCATCACGACCACGAGTTACAGCAATTAGCTCTCTAGGGGACGTAGGTGCGCACACTGGGTGTTTGTGTGGTGGCCAACGAATGGGACACGATAGCCGATGGACTCAGGAATGAACGTGCGTGTAGGCATTCTTTAAGCAACGCAGGTGTGCACACATTCATGCTTGGTTAATTGCTTTAGTTCGTTGTCTGTGACTTCTGGTGGTTTGCAGGGGGGGCCCATGCCCTGGCCTGTTTTCTGGAGCAGTGGTACTGGGCTGGTGAATCTGCATCATGCTCCGCAGCTCAACTTTCCTCTTGGCCGTGCCGTCTCTTTGATGCAGCATCGTCCTTGCATTCGACCCATGCCCACCACATGCATGCACACCACCTGGATACACACCATGTGGCAGAGCAGCTTGCCCATTGCTTGCACTGGTGCATGAGAACACAGCGCTAGGGAAGTCGTGGGATACAGCAGCCCTTGTGCCACTTTCAGCAAAGTGTAGAAATAGGAGAGGTGATTTGGAACACCTGGTTGGGCTGCTCGGACTGGTGTATCAGCACAACCAACAGTTGCCAGGCAGGAACTTCACCAAACATGTGCAATATTAAGTGCGGCATCAGAACTCAACGACCAGGTGAGCATGGCACAGTGCGCTCAGCGAACTGACCGCTCGGGGTATTGCTTCCTTCTGGCCAGTATTGCGTGGAGCAGTTGCTGATCCATTATCCACACCACGAACATCTCGCTGCCATGAGCGCTGCCCGCGATATTCAATCACAGCGTGGGTGCAGCACCTCGAGTTGGAAAGACGGGGTTGCTCCATTGCCAATAGCGGGATCCTTCAGAAGCAATGAGGGCACTTTGCTGTGGGCGCACTAGGGGACTTCGGGCTGGTGTCCATGAAGACAGTATCCAGGAAGTGGCGCACAGGAAACTGCTAAAACATCACTGGTTTAATTTGTTGTTCGTACCTTGGGGTCTTGTGCTGTATTGTGTGTTGCGAATGCACTGCTTGTATGTTCTCAAATTCACCAGACGAACGCCAACTGAGAAATGCCCTCGGGTGCCAGGTTGCTCGCCCTCTAGCCATAGCCAGAGACACAGGAATGCCGCAGGCCAAGGTTGCCTGCAACAAGTGTAGTGTCCATGATAGCGGCATCCCAAAGCAATCAACAAGAGGGTTGTGTGTTTGTGAAGTGGCGGTGGTATGAAGCTGCTCTTGGGCGTGGCCAAAGTGCCTCGAAGGTGAACTCGTGTCGGCAATGTGTGGCATGACGATGTCGAGCGATTTTGGATCGTGCACGGTGTTTGGCTCCAATTCAGTGACGAATGGGGCCACGTGCTTTTCAAGCCCGCCATGATCTCGCACCCACCGGATTGTCTCACCAACCGGGGCTCCCAGCAGGACAGCCTTGCCAGCACTTTGGCCCCCTTCCACCTTGCGGGTGGAGTTGAATGCACCAATTCCTGATACTTTACGAGTGACGACGTAGGCGCAGCGCTAAATGTACAGAGAACACTTCGGCACCTTTTCCCGCATCGCCATCCACAGGGTGCCCAAGTTGAACCCGGCGATGGGGGACATGCACCTCAACCCCGCCAAGTCCCTGTGCACGCTCGTCACCAGCTCGTATCCAAACCTGATGCTGCACACACTGGGGAGGCCCGCGAGGAAGTCGAAGCTCTGCGACAAGCACAGGGGGTTGCTGATGAGGCTCAGGGTCTCGAGGGCTGGCATGGAAGCCAAGCCTGCCGGCACCTCAGTGAACTCGTTGCACGAGAAGTCCAGGCACCTTATGCGGTTTGAGGGGATGGAGTCCGGCAGGCCGCTCAGCGGGCCGTGCCTGAGCACCAGGCTGGTGAGGGAGGGCAGGGCCAGGAGGGACTGGGGCACCGCCTCGAAGGCGCAGCGCTCCAGGTGGAGGCTGGAGACGTTCCGCAGCTGGCAGGGCGGCACTGAGAACGCCCGGGGGAACAGTAGCCCGGGCCCCCCCAGCTGGAGGCTGGACAGCATGGGCAGCGCGCGGAAATGGTGGAGGTCTGTCAGGACGTCCAGTTCCTGTGGGGGTTGCGAGGACAGATCAATTGGGGTCGCCAGAGGTATGTACCACAGCTTTGAAACATGTGTTTGGGAGACGCGCATTGCTCGCTAGGCACTGAGGGCGCATACAAGTGAACTAACGGAGCGTGGGGGCGCGGGGTTGGACGTCTCTGCGCAGCCTGTATGTTCAGGTGGTGATCATGAACACTGCAGGGAGTCAGGCCAGTGCAACAGCTGCGAGAACAAGCCTGGAATTCAAGCCGTTCTCAGGGAAGCAGGTGATGGATTGATGATCACGAGGCGCAGTGTCTATGGCAATGTGGGCATTTGGTTAATCAGAACGAAGTCTGTACCTGACAAGGGCAGTTTCTGAGTTTGACATTGCGATTCTGGCTCCAACATGGGAGGTTTCACTTTGGCACACTCGCTGAAGTTGTGGCGTAATTGGGATACGCCATTGGCCCGCTTCACTCATCCTGAGAAACACTCCATGACAATGACCATCAATGAGAAGTTTGGCAACGTTGAGGGCATCGAATTAGGGCTGCCCTTTACACCTGGCGCCCGTGCGCACCTCCGTCGCCGACTCGCCATTGTTGACGACCAGAGACGTCAAAGACGTCACGAATTCAACGTGCTGTAGCAACGGCCCGTGCCACTTGACGTGCGACAGGCTCAACGCTTCTAGCTCCACGAGCAGCCCCAGTTCCTTCGGAAGTATGTTGACGTTTTCCAAATCCAAGTGGCGGAGCTGCATGTTCGCATCAGAAACAGGTAGCTGAAGGGCCGCGCACCTGCATTGCCTGCCTTATCCGGCGGGCAGCAAAGGCGTAGAAAGTAATGCAGAAAGTAGAAAGCCAACTGCTTGGTTTATATTAAATGGCTGCAAAAACTACGGCGTCCTGGGACCAAAATCCGCTGGACACCAACGTCGTGGCTCACAATCATGAGGATTAACACGCAGGCCCACGGTTCTTGGAGCCTACACCAATTGTCTATTTTAGGCACATACCGATGGGTAATAGTAGAATTGGACTGCCTGAGACATATAGAAGCGTGTCCTTGCCGCAGGCCAGCGCAATATTGTGCCAAAAAATGCATTGGCCATCTCAGTATGGGCAAACGGGCACTGTGCTGCACAATCATGCCCTATGTGCTATGGAGCGGGCTGAGACTTTGCCACAATGACTGGGACCCATCTTTGAAAGCAAATTCCATCATGAAGTGAAAGCGAGGAGGAGTTCCGCATTCAGTGCATCCCTTCCCTTGTACTTCGCTAAAACATTGCAGACACTCTGGCAAGTCAGCGATCGTAAGCTGACAATGAAGTATATGACGCAATCTCACTTTTATCAGAATTGTTCTAAATTTGCAGAAAATTGTATGGCAAGCACAAACTGTTTTAGAATCGAACACTCCGTGCAATACTACTGAAAACACATTGAGGCAAACTTTTTTTGATAACAGATGCAGAGCAAATAAACGGCAAAGTTGTCTGAAACAACTCTCATGTGTACATATCATACTGCAAAAGAGTGATGATGCATAACATTGCGTTAGATAGCCGTGTTTTCGGTGACATTTTTACTAACGTATGCCGACAGCGATGCCGACAATGGGGCAGCACCTTCATACTAAATATAGAACGAACCTCACATATTCTTGTTCAGTGGCGGTGGGCGCGTGTTTGCATGGTACGCCATGATGCATTTGATCACAAAAACCTACACAAAGGCGGAGATTTCCACATGAACATATCTCGCTTTATCACTGCAAAGAATCGTCGTCACTAACCTGCGGAGGAATGCACAGCAGGTGGAGCACCGGCTGCTGGGATGCGCTGCGCCGCAGGAGCAGACTTTTGAGGCGCGTCAGTCCTGCGAGTTGGGGCGCGTCGCTCAAGTACCCCACATCTCCCCACATCCACAGTTCTTCGAGGCCCCTCAGTCCCTCCAGCGCGCGAAGCACGTTGGGCATGAAGCTTCTATGGAAGCATTTGAGCAGGCGCAGCTTTCGTAGATTGGATGTGAGCAGAGACAACAAGCCGAGGTTGAAAGCGCTTACGTCCAGGCCCGCCCACGACGTGTGACCTGAGATGGCGACGCCCTCGCACTGATGACCGTGACGGGCCCACCTGCGGAGGGGCTCCCAGATTAGAACGCTGCGTGCATAGCTCTTTTGCGTGCATTCTAGCAGACTTTACGGTGCCCTATTACTAGTAATAGGGTATTACTAGTATTACTAGCAGGTATTACTAGTATTACTAGCAAGAGTACTCTTGTTCTGGGGGAATCTTCATACTTCCGAATTTCGGAATTTCCTGATAATGATGGCTCCTAAACCTCCAATTTTTCCTTATGCTGTAAATTGCAGGATTGGAATGATGTAAATTCAATTTTTCTGTAACTTCAAGGCAAGTTTTCCCGTTCTTTCTAGCATTTGCTCCGCTATAGCTCTAATGGTATTTCATTATCACTGAGCACAACGCATGCATTTGAAACGTCCCTAGCGCTGCCACATGAGGGAATCGCCGCTGCGCGGAATGCAGCCCAATTTAATGTTGATCATAAATCGCAACAGAATATCACCAGGCGAAGATGAGTCGGCCATTGCACATCGCAATGTTAGCTCACGGCCACCCCTCACCATGCCGTCGACATTTGCTTGGGCCAGCCCCAGCAGCAGATGCGAGAGAACCTCCACATTCGCGGGGCGCCCTCAATCGCTTCCTTCCAGCGCTTGCACACCCTCGGCAGCACCACGACGTACTCGAATCCTGCAGCCGCGTCGGCGTCGGCCCTGGCGGTGTGCAGGCGGCAGGGCTTGGACCACAGGCGGGAGGTCGGTGACGTCTCGAAGTTGGGGTTGAAGGGGTTGATGAGCAGCTCAAATATTTGGAGCAGAACATCGTCGTCGAGGTCGTTGATGCTCGAGCATTCAGTCATCCTGCAGGCGAGGCAGAATTTTCAATTGGCAATGACGATGGCTGGTCGAGCCACCAGACGAAAGGGGCAGCGCACTCAATCGCATGTAGCTTGACAATCAGATGCTGCCACTCGGTCCGGGCACATGCGCGATCGGGCAGAGAGATATTTCGGAGTAGTTCTCTAAATAGTACTTAATGCGTGGCTGGTTAGTACTCAGCGTGTATTACGCCTTGCGGAAAGCTCCTGGGCATCCTCATGCCTCAGAAACACAATCCGAAAAGCACCCTTCCAGAATTCGAGGCATTCTGCGGAGCGCTCAGAAGCGCCACCATTAAATATGAATCAACGGAAAAACAACGCAACCAACGAATCTGCATGGCCGGTATAATACCTCCTGAACGGTTTGCGGATTCCAAATTGCCCACACCGGGGTTGACACGAGGACGGACCAGCTGCCGCAATTATCGAGGGCCGAGGCCCGTGGCCCCTTCTCCCCGAAGGACGCCCTATTCACATCCCAGACTCGACAGACGGCCTAGAAACCTCAACGGGCGCTTCGGTCGGCAGCATCCGCCGATACCCTCCGAATAACTCGCAGCGACCCGCAGCCAAACCCTGACTCCGTCGCAGCCAAATTGCTCACGACTCTGGAGAACCGCTTGAAGGACGGCTGCAGGAAGGGGGACCTTGACGGGCGGCGGACGGGTACACAAGCCATGGAAACGCCCGGAACGGCATCCGCGCCGGAATGCTGCAGGGCCGTGCGGCGACCAGCGCGCTCACCCCAGGGAGCCGCTCCGACGACCAGAAACTCAAAACACCTCGCAGCCTTCCGGTCGTCCCGGCGCGCTGCCCGCCTGCTCCTCCTCCTTCGCGGGAAGAATCTGGCGCTGCCTGGGATGGGAGGAGGGAGTTGAAATTGCGAGGCCGGGGGTAACGCGTGCCACTGAAGTCGCTCGATTGCTTTATGTCGCATAAGAACATGTTTGTCGGTGGGTTCTATTGTCCCGGCGGTGCTATTCGGCTATTCGAATAACACGGTACGTCCATAAAACATCACTAACTTGCCCACTGAACTGCACAATAAATTTGCAACGTTTTTAAATCTGTAATTAGGAGAGAGTATGATAAGCCAGATCTGCAGATAGACCAAAGGCATCCTTTTGAAATGTTGTCAAAGTCCATGCGTGGTTTGTTGAGAGTAAGTAGCATCCACCTTTAGAGTTTTTTTTCGGGTCAGAGGCGTCCCCCAAACAGCAGCTGAAAACTGCACTACCGCCTGGGGGACATATCTTTTCCAAGAAAACAGAGCTTCAGAGTTTGGGATCATTTCTGTTTTGGGAATGCACATAGCATAATTTATAAATTGAAATTTAGCAGGATTAGCTGATGTAGGCAACAGTTTTCCATGCACGAATGGCACACAATTTTTAGAAATTAGTCACGCGGTTTTCTCGAACATATCATTTCATGCTTTATTGCAGCACACACACATTGACCAGCATGCTCGCCAGCATGATGAACGCCTTCGATCGACGGCGTATACATTATGGATCAATGTTAGAGTACGCATTTCAACGAGCTGCCTTTGAGCTCATGCCTGCACGAACTTGCAAATTCTGGGCATCTATTCTGTGCGCACAATCGAAAAATTGGCGATAAACATTCCTTGACCAGAAGGTACAGGGTGGGAGCAACGCTGCCTTCTCAGATGCTGGCTTGCACGCTGACTGAGCGAAGAGACGTGAGACCTTGTTCGAGCTGAAAGCATCTGCTAATCGACAACGCAATCGAAGTCGTGCATGGAGCCGTCTACAAAAAGCAATGGTAGTGCCTTTCCTGCGCTCCCAAATGTATTCAAACGGATTGTCTCCAAGTGCTTTCGCGGCTGAGGCGCTGCTTTTCTACCCGTCACCTTCCCCTCTACAGGGTATGCCCTTTGGCCCCTTGATCCTCTTCGCGTATAGCTCCTTGGTCTGCGCTTTCCGTACATACACACAATGCTGGGCCCTCGCTCCCGTGCACCTGTACCGCGGGTGTATTTAAGGCTGCAATTTCCACAAACAAGATTGGGGTGGGCAAACATTTGGTACACATGGAGACATGTTGCACATCTCATTACATTATCCACTCGTCATATACGCAAGTCAATAAGTGCAACATTGTACTTTCCCCCCCGCTCCCCCATACGGACAAATGGCCATTCTATCCTTGCGATGCCAGGAAGGGACTCTGACAGGACGTCTGCGAATTCTTTATGAGGTTTGAGCTTCCTCACTGGGGTGCGGTCGCACTGTGCTTCCTTGCTGCACTACCCACGCGCTGTGCGGGGGCAACCCATGCTGCTGGTGTTGGTGGATATGCGCGTCAGGCCAGGCGCGAGCCCTCAGAGATTGACAGAGCCAGCAAACAGGAAGGACAGCTGGGGTTCCTCAACCACAGTGGTCGACTCAAACTAGTCGGACGTGGAAAAGTGCGCGTTTTGAGGAGCCGAGGCACGTCCACCAACTGTGAGCATCCATCGCCTCTACCTGAGCTGTTATGTTCGCGACGGCTAAATACACGTTCGCAAGGGGACGCACACAGGTAACAGAAACGGCCGTCGTTGTGTGGGCCACACTGCTGGCGCCACTTTCGCCACTCGACAGGGAGAAGCGGCGCCAGCGGTGTGTGCTTGCAACTCTAAGGTCGCAACTTGCGTGACCCAAGAGCCCATCTTGATAATTGACAGAGGGACTGATGACAACATCTCACAAAACTCACGGATCCTTAAATTATGAATTTAAAATGCCAAACCTTCCGGGCAGGGTGCTTGGAGCTGCGCAGCTTGGTGAGTGCCTTTCTATCCCGTTCTGTGCCCTGCACCAGGAAGCCGAACCGCTTATAAACAAGAGCCAAGGCAACACTGAAAACGGTAAAATGAGAAAGGAAAAATGAACTGAAGACATGGCAAGCGAGAGAAAGGGTGTGCCTCGGCGCGCAGGCAACACCTTCCGCGCGAGGGGCCTACGTGGCGGCACATGGCCTCACGTGCCCCAACCTGGCTTCCACCCCAGCAATCAGCGCTCTCCAAACCGCCAAGCCAACCCCACGCGCCCTCGCCAGCAGGCGCTCCCCCCCCTCTCCCGCGCCTCTCCGCCCCCCGCCCCGTCCGCCCCACCCAGGCATGGCGCTGCGCCAGGGAGCCCTGCCGCTCAAGTGCCTCAACCACGTGTCCCTGGTGTGCAAGGACCTGGACAAGTCCGTCGCGTTCTACCGCGACCTCCTGGGCTTCGAGGAGGTCCGCAGGCCGCAGAGCTTCGATTTCGAAGGCAGCTGGTGCGATGGGGACGGAAGGGGAAAGGGGGGGGTGGGGGGTACGATCTGAACTGCGCCGCGATCCGCGGAGTTTCGGTGGGAGACCGCAGCCGCCTCGGAGCGTTTGACTGACGCGGACGGGCGTGGTTTTGGCGACGCTGGGCAGGCTGTTCGGCTGTGGCGTGGGCATCCACTTGATCCGGGGCGACCAGTCCAGCCAGGTGGTGGAGCGGCCGTCGGCGATCAACCCCAAGGCGGACCACCTGTCCTTTCAGGTGGGCGGGCGGGGGGATGGCGTTGGACGGGCCTCCCGGCTGGGAAGTGGGGTGTCCGTGCCGCGGGTGCCACCAAGGGGCGCAGGGGGGGGGACATCCGTGCCCAGTTTGCTGATCGGTGTACCGGCTGCGGCGCAGTCGGATCATCTGGAGGCGGTCGTGGCGCTGCTGGAGGCGTTGGGGATGCACTACGAGAGGCAGAGGGTGCGAGAGGGGACGATAGTTGTCAGCCAGGTGGGCACACCTTCCTCCACTCTGCCTCCCTCCTTCCTTCCTTTCTTCCTCTCCCCTCCCACATCACACACGCTCCTTTCTCACCTTCGAGCCTGCCATTCTGGCCGTTGGTGATCGGCGCCTCCCCAGCGCCGGCGCGCCGCCCAGACCGGGTCGTCCCATCCGTGGGGCGTCCCCGCGGCGTGTCGCTAAACACAACGCTTCTGCTACTTTCTTTTTCAAGAGTGGGCCGCCGCCGAGGCGCCTGGCGGGACTTTGCGCCCCGCCGTGAACCGAGGCCCGAGGGCCCGCCCAGCCGGGTGGCCGGGCCACCCCCCCGGCTTGGTCGCCAGGCGTGGCCCGCTCCAAGCCCCCCAGGCACCCAATTGCCGCCTTGGGTAGGTCCCACGCTGCTCCACGTGGACGGGTGTGACTAACTCGTCTTTGGTACTCTTCGGACATTGTAATAAAATAGTCAAATTTTCTATTCACATTATTCAAAAATAGACGTCGTATTCATGCTTTGCAACAACGTAGCCTTTCTGCTGGGACTGCGGTCTCAAGAGCAGCTTAGGGGTTTTGGGGCACTCCAGTGCGCCTCTGAAGGCTGCAGTTTCAGCAAAAAGGCCACAGCACCAGTCGGGCGCCGTTCTCGGGGTGACACCGGCCATGGCTCGGACCCTTGGCACCCTTGCCCACGCCCGCGCTGCCTGCCCTGCCCAGGTGTTCCTCCACGACCCCGACCACAACATGATCGAGATATGCAACTGCGACTGCCTACCCGTGGTGCCGCTGGGCGCCTCGCCGTGGCTGCAGCGGGGGCCGGGCCACGCGGCGGGGCTAGGCGGCTGCGCCGCGACGGCCAGCGCGGCGGACCGCTTCTGCGTGGACGCGCGGTCTGGATTTGGGGCGGACATGGGAGAGTGAGCCCGGAGGTGGTTGGCCGCATGCACCGCTGCGAGGCCAGGAAAGTGTGAGAAGGGGAAGCGCGTGTGGATCGATGAGTGCGTGCGGGGAGGGGGTGTGGGACGCGCTTGCGGGACGCCTGAGGGAGGAGGTGAGGGCGGTGCACGCTCGTGGAAATGCGCTTCCCGTTTGGTACTTTAGTCCAGTACTTTGGCGGCATCGGCGGGTGGGTTGTTGTGGTGGAAGGAGGCCCAGATGGGGCGGCTGGGCTAGGCGGACGGCGTCCACAGCGAACACTTTCAGGCTGGTCGATTTTGCGCACGACTGGCGCGCCGGAAGCAACTGTTGCGCAGGGGCAGGGAGATGAAGGAGGGGATGGATGGATGGCGCGAACCCCTGCTAAGGGGGCCGCTTGGTGTGGAAAGTCACGATCAGATTAGGTCGGCTCCGAGGGCAGCTTTTGCAAAGAGCCTTTGCCAAAACGTACGAGATCACTTTTGTTGAGAAGCTAATTTGTGCGGGGGCTGAGGTGATTCTTCATTTGGATACAGCCGCTCCAATATGTTGTAGCTTTGTGTAACACTTGTGTGTGTGCGATTCGAGTAGCTCTGCCTTTCAAACTTCAGTTCGAATGTGTTGGAAGCTTGCTGCTGTTCACGCCACAGCACCAGAAATAGCAGTGCCTGAACGATGCGCATTGTTTCGAGTCGAAAAGATGTGCGCTGATAGAATTGTCGAAACTTCAAACGCTGCCCCATTTCGGGTCCTTAGAAAACTATCCCAATTTTTCCACAAAGAATTCCATGCTCATTTCAGGTGCATGCTGCAGATTAGCGTGCCACCCTTCCCTTTTCCTTATTTTTCGCTGACGAACTCATACTCAGTAGGAAAGGGCGTCCTGCACTGATGGCATTTACATAGAGTGATGCTGGTGAGCTCGCGCCAAGGTATGATAGAGTACAGGACAAAGCTGCACCTGATAGTGTTGGCAAGGCAAATTGAGAAACGATGTTTGCCTGAAAGGGTTTTGCAAAATATCAGCATGACAAGTGGTGGGACATGGCATTTCAACTAGTGCATTGCATGCAAACGTCGATTTCGAATGCCCCATCGTTTACCCAGTTCGCCCAACTTGACAACAAAATTTGACGGCAGTAACTTCGGGGCACTGGATGAAGTGCTTTCCGTAGACACCTCGAGCACAGCCGAGGGCAGCGCTGCTATCGCGACAGTCAAGACAAGCTGAAACCAGATGCGGCCCATGGGCGGGGCATGGGATGTGGCATGGCAGGATCGTCTTGCCCTGGACGTGGATCAGGTATAGAGGTCGCTAGGGCAGTGGTTGTCTTGGCTTGGATTTGGGAGCAGTTTGTATTACATACTGTGCTCGCGATACCAAGCTGAGTGTACCTCCTCCGCACTCTGCATATTGATGTGGAGAGCCATTGATTGCAATCACAAGAAGGGGGCCATTTACGCATAACCAAGAGTTTGTCGCTGAACAAGATGGGACCAGATGCCAAATGGGCAAAGGTACCTTGAAACTTCAGGTTGTTCGAGCATTAAAGCGTTGGGAGTCCCAACGCTTTAATGCTCGAACAATCTGAAGTTTCAAATACCATCTTGGGACGTCATACAAGGGCTGAGCAAGGTATGGGCTGATGAAGGAAGATTAGCTTTTGAACATAGACGCCCACCACTCAAGGAGATTACCCAAGTGCAACAATATCAAAGCAAGGGAGGAGGGCAGAATGGCGTGCATTGCACACAAGTTAGACACATGGCGTTTCTTTGTGTTCTCTGGGAGCTAGTCCACGAAACAGGTCGGCGAGCAGGGCGTCGGCCTGATGGCTGTCCAATGGGGTGCAAACGGGGGCGATCCGCGACAGATGCTCAGTGGTGACCAGCAACGACTTTTGGCGGTTGGCGCCTTGCAGTTGCCGGTCGAGCGGGTCATAAGTTGACGATTGGCCAATGGAACCACAGGAAGTGTCTACCAGGGAGAAATGGCAGTGGGCAGGGGCGTGAGCCGATACGGATTGAAGCTCATGCACAATATAGTGGGCATATGACATCATGTACATCCAGTTACTGATGCTCTTTATCAATCCGAGCTGAGCCAGCAGCTGCACCGATTAGGGGGGTGTTCGGGGCGCCATTTTATGAGGTAATAAGACTCTGAGTACACAATCATTGGGCTAGTAAATATGGCAAGAAGGCGCCCCGTGCGGCAAGCAGAAAAAGGACCGTCGGGAGCTGCACTCACACAAAAGTCGTCATGGAAGCCCAAGCCCAGCTACTCAGGCACGTCAGCGATGGACCAAGGAAGCTACAGGAGCTGCACTTCGATTATCGGGAGTCACACCACCGACACCACCCGATATGCACATTGAAATACCACGAATTGACACGCGCACATCACCTTGACATGACCCAACACCCGTCTGACTGCGCGGAGTACGGCGAATCCACACAACACCCCTCCGCACGGACCCGCACGAGCCGAGAGGCCAGGCGAGTGCACTCCGGCCAGGTCTAAGGCCACAGGACTGCTGGCGGAGCGTTTCCGCACCGGTGCATCAGGATGGAATGCTGCCATCCATCTGCATTGATCACCCTTGACCGATGGGCTGCGCGGGGCACCCGTCGGCGGAGGTCGCGATCCTGATTCTGGAAGCCCACAGAGAAAGTGTCCCTGCGGGGCTGTAGGGGGGCCAAAGTGCTGCCATTCTGCTGGAAGAAAATGGGGGCGGGCATTGAGGATTGTGAGAGCGCCGTTCGTATCGTCATCGGGGGCGACATGCAGAATCACATGGTGTGCATCGGTTTCCATGGGGACGCATAGATGTACTGCCTACGATGCAGGTTGTCTATCATGGCAGCACCCTATGTGACGTGGCTGCTTGGGGATTTAAGCTTATTTGACATTTCTGGAGTGGGAATTACGTAATTGGCTAAGTCGACCTTTTGTGAGTGTTATTTAGAGCTTCCTGGTTCCAACGAGCTTTTAAACGCCCGATTCCGTTAAGAATTGACGAAGATATGGCCTCCTGAAGTCGTAATACTTGGGGCCAAGGGGTCGGGTGTTAGATGCTTGGAATTAGAGGACATTAAGTCGATCGTAGGTGAACGGTGGACGGTGACTTAGTGCCTGGATGCGCACATTGACTTTTCTTGTCTTGATGTGAGCGCGATGGACCCGCGATCGGGCATCGCGCATGCGATATGTGCGCGCGTATGCTGTGAATCCGTGTAACATCTTTGGCCCACTCTCTGGCCTCCCGCGAGCCAGCGAACCACCACACCGCTGCGCCGCCACCTCTCGCCGACAGCAGGCCCCGGGGATCGATCCCCGTCGAGCATTGGGCCCACCGCGCGACCAAGGAAGCGACTGCCCCGGATACGCCCACCATCCGAGGTGGAGAGCGCCGGCTGACCTCCAACAGCCAAGCCGCAGGGCAGGGCGACCCCCACGACTCCGGAAACCAGCGGCTGCCGACGGGGCCGCAACACCCTATATCGACCTGTGGCGCATTGTGAGAGTGAGAGGGATGGCTTGGAGGTTAGTCAGGTTCTAGAGGACCACTTCAAACGGGCACTGACGGTCGAGAAATGGGAGCATGACGACGCAACCAGATGGGTTGCGTGAGATTGGCACCAAAGTGGCTTTGAACTACAGGTGGACGAAAGCATACCCCCTCTGGGGACGCTCTGAGGTTTGTGAGGGCTGGTGCCGCGGGGTTAGGGCTGGTGATGGGGTTGCATGACGTTGTGACGTTCTTTGGGTCACGAGCATATGTTACGCGCACCAGCCTGATGTGGGAGACGTCCTACTAATGGCCCTTGGTGTGGGGGACGCCCTGCCCAAGGCACGTACTATTCCTCACCCATTGTAACCTTTATCCATATTAGGATACGGGAGTAGGAGGGGTGGTCCCGCCTAGGTGCCCTGTAAGGACCTAGGTGCTATTGGCATCAGGAGCTCCTGAATAAGCTGATTTTGCCGTATTTGGACTTTTTCGACCAACCGCAGCTACAGAAAAGTCAATTTTAGCCTAACCCCAAGCAGCCACGTCACAATACTCCCCCCTTGGGGTAGCTTTCGCCCCCGAAAGCACACTATCCCATACTAGTGTCTTCCTCGGGCTTATCCCTCTTGATTATTTTCTGAAGTTCACGTGCATAGGTGAAATTTCCAGCAGGTATCCAGGAGGCATCATCAATACTCCACCCTGTCCATAACACTAAAAACTCCTTATGCCTCCTGCCACTGGGTCCTGCCCATCTCCATCGCAGCAGCTTCTCAACTTCATACGGTTCATCAGCCTCTGGCTCGATCTCGGCGTCATCTGACTCCTGTGGGGTAGACCATCTGGACGATCTGAATGGTCATAGCAAACTGGTGTGAAAGACGTTATGAATCCTCCACCCTTCTGGTAGCTTCAACTCGTAGGCCACTGATCCCACCTGACGGACCACAGCAAATGGTCCTACGAACCGTCACTTCAGTTTGCGTACAGGTGCATTTTTCAACTGTAGATGCTCTGTACTGAGTAGCACCTGTTCCCCACTGTGAAACCTCTGTTCTCTGCGCCGCTGATCGGCCTGACGCTTCTGCCTCTGCTGAGCCTGATGAACTGACTGCATCGCCATTCTGAATGTCTTCTTCATTCGGTTGACAAAGACGTTGACACCCTCAATGTTGGTCTGGTCCATGTCCTTGATCAAGTCCAACGGGGTCACTGGCTCAAAGCCGTAGTTCAAAAAGAAAGGCGTGTACCCCGTGGATGGCGATGCGCTGCTGTTGATCACGAACTCCACCATGGGCAAGTATTTCTCCCAATGAGTGACTTCCTGACTGCCATGAATCGTACACCTGAGGACTCGCTCTACCACCCTGTTGGCTGCCTCTGTCTGTCCATCTGTCTGGGGGTGGTGAGCGCTGGACATCCTTAGCTTGCTACCCAAAATCTTCCAGAATTCTTGCCAGAACTTCGACACAAATCGTGGATCTCGGTCAC